ACGTTTTGATATTATTGAGCTGGTTCGGTTTTAACATTATTCGACCCGATCCAATATCGGTAAGAAAAAATTAACAGGTCCAACCAACTGATAAAATTTATGTTTTGACTTCAATTGGAATGTTCTCACCCTTGTGTAGCATTGAGGGACCATTGATTATTCATTTAAGATTATTAATTTATGTTTTTTTATTTTTTGACAAATTTTAAATCTAATTTTAAATCCTAATCCTAATAGTAGGAAAAGGGGACTTTAGGGAGAAAGAGAAGTGTTCGTAATGGGTCTAGAACTCATAACTTAAGAAAATAGTAGGGAATAAAGACGGGTAACATGGTCACTTAGTCAATATACTTGCTCTAATTCATGATATTTGGTGTAGTGATAATATATAAATTAATATATTGTTAGTATATTAAAAATATAATTATTTATATTTATTTTTATCTAGTTTTCAGCACGTGTACATATGTGCTTTCTTATTTTTTTAACGAAATATTTTATTTTGCTTAAAAAATAATTTAAAATGTTATTTTATATTTACCATATTTAAAAAATATTTTAGAATATATTTTCAAAAGTATAATATATAATAAATTGGACAAGTATGATATAATAATATTATATTATCTTATTATTGTTTTAAATGTATTTTTATATATTTGAATTTGAGTTTATAAGGCCAAGTTTGAATCCTATCACTGTCGCTCTTGGTGGATAATTTATAAATTCCAATTGAGTATTAAGTCTCTGGCCCTGGTATGGGGGAGTCACCCCTATTTATATATGGTTGGATCAGGACATAATGAACTCGAAAATTCTGATATAGAATTTTATTATAACTAATTTTTAAACTTTAATTTGCATCAAAACTTGTACTTAAACACAAATTAAATAAATTAGATATAAAAGCCCAATATATGTTTTAAAATAATATCTAAAGTTTAATTGAATAAATTTAAAATAACTGAATATTTATCTCAAATTAATGTTAGATCTTAAAATTAAATTTTGGATTGAGCTTGAGATTAAACATCGAGCATGAAGTTGGTTTTAGAGGTTATATTAGGGCATTCGTGATTTGCTTCTTGCACTACAACTGCAATTTGAGGACTTTAACAAATGACAGTTACGGTATATTTTCGATAGGAATATTTGTCACACCACAACTTAGGGCTTAAATTTTTTTAAAAAATTTTCCGATAACTAAATTGAAATTTTAATTAAATTTAGGGATCAAAGTTAAATTTTGATTAAATTTGAATCCAAATTCAAAAAGTATAAAAAACTAGAGGACCTATACTCCTAATTTTACAATTTCTTTTAAGAATATATAACCTCAAAGCGGAAAAATTTTCTCATTTGAAAACCTCATTTTCTCTATCTTCAAGCTTTCCTCTTTTAGCAAGAAATTTCAATCGACGTTTCGTCGTCGACCGTTGTTCGTTTTGGACACCTTTTATTGTGTTTGCATTGTCTCGAGTCCACCGGTCATCTTGTCTTCGTTGCCGCCGGCGTGTGAAGGGTGAGGAAGAACAAGTTTCTCATATTGCGAAGTCGAGTTCTCCGTCGTTCATCGCTGTGAATCTACCTTGATAAATCTCTCAAAACCCCTTAAAAAACATATAGGAATTTTTCCATATTTTTTTACCCCTGAAAGCCCCGCACGCACGCCCGTGCGTCATCATTGCACAACATCTGAAAGTGCTTAGTATTTTTAGCCCCGAAAACTCTGGTGAGTTCTAGAAACGGATGACCCATCCTGACCCGACCTGATCCGACGGTTAACCGTTAACTAGCGTTAACTTTTTTGAAAACTTTCATTTTGACATTTTTTTGACATTTTGAGTCTGATTTGTGATCTTTTGCCAAATTCTAACCCGAAACCCCAAATAGCCGTTAATTTGAAAGTGCTTAGTATTTTTAGCATTTTTGTTTATATTTGAGATTTAATTATGGAATTGATACGAGTATATATTTTCATGAGGTGCTGTTTTCTACCGACCAAGGGTCGATTAGATCCAGTAGTTCCGTCTGTTAGATCCGCTTGATCCAGATTCTTCGAGAGTTACGTAGGTTTCTGTAAATTGTTTAAATTGAGGTTATTGTTAATCATATTAGGATTCTGATATAGATTTTTTGATTCGTAAGATCTAGCACTACCGTTGATCGTGATCGGCAGACTCAATAGTGGCTTCCTTATCAGACTACTCAGACCGGTACATGTGTGTTTCCTGATGTTATTACATTACTGTTTTAAAGTATTCATCTTAACTTTTAGATTCGTGTGATACTAAATATTTTTACGAGACGATACTGATTTCTAAATATTGTTTATTTGATATATGATTTACTGTATATTTTCGATATGCTCTCTAATTACTGTATTTTTGTATCTGATTTCTTAATAAAACATTTCATGTTTTAATTAAAATACCGTTTTCACTTGAACATACATGTTTATTATTGTCATTAGGGGTATTATTGGAGGACGTATATCAGGCTTAGCCCTGACTCCTACTTTACTTTGTGCACAAGGTAAGTCTTTACTGCAGGTCCTTATGCTATATGTAGAGTTTTGAGAAATAAGTTGAAGGAACTTGCTGATCAATACGCTCTCTCTGAACAACAATATCAGCAGAAGGTATGGTTTGACATCCCGGTACATCTAAGGTTTTTCATATTGAAATCCCAATCAATTCTATTATCAAGGACTGTCAGCCTTACTCTTATGTTTCGGACATTATATGCACAGCTAAAGAAAAAAACACTACAACTACAGCTTTCGGATCTGAAAATCAAGCAACACGAAGAGAAATTGAATAGTAGTGTGATGCCTTTATAGACAATTAAGAAGTGATTTCTATGTTACTCAGACTTGAGAATGGGTGTCAGATTCAAGTACGTATTGGACGTGGGTATGCTCTATCTTTCTATTTTTGACGAGGTAGCAATCCCATGCCCGTTTGCTAATATTTGTTGAACATGGATACTATACGTAAAATGAAGAATCCGGAGTGATATAGAGTGATACATCTTTCATGTTTGATGTATTTTCCTTTAGATATACTTGGACCTTATCACTGAATGCACTTCACTCTTCCAACTTCCTCTCTGTATTGACTGCTGAGAATCTTAGCCTATGATGCGGCAACATTGAAGTCCGATTTGCTTAAATCTATCCCATTTTCATCTTCATGATGTTTGAATTTATATTTAATTTTCAGGATGCATTGGTAAAGAGCAATGAGGTGTTTGAAACATTTAAGCAAGAGATTGAGAAGGTATATGTACCTGTTATCCTTGAGAGATACACTTTCCTCAAAGCTCTACTTTTAGAATTTTCCTATTGATCAATCTATGATTGTCATTCGCGGTTGCCTTTTGTTACTTGGACTCGGGTGTGTGTCGGATGCGGGTATGTGTCTTATACGGGTATTTTTGTAGGGTCAAAGCTACTGCATCTTTTGAAGAAATTTCTGAATGTATGCACATTTTGGTATATTATATGGTGTGAAGAACAGCCTCTTTGGGTGCTGGATTTCCTTGTAGGGATATATAATTTTACTTTTTAGTTACGTTACCTTTTGTTACTTGGACTCGGGTGTGTGTCGGATGCGGGTATGTGTCTTATACGGGTATTTTTGTAGGGTCAAAGCTACTGCATCTTTGAAGAAATTCTGAATGTATGCACATTTGGTATATTATATGGTGTGAAGAACAGCCTCTTTGGGTGCTGGATTTCCTTGTAGGGATATATAATTTCCTACTTTTTAGTTACGTTACTCCCTTAATTTACACATGACAATAACGCTATATAACATGATTTTTTTAAGAATATGCCACGTGACACATTCTTAAGGTGTCACATGGATTTTTATAACGTGAAAAAGATTGAAACACAGTATTATAATTTAAAAGATAAAAGCATTGAACTGATTCAAAAGTTTAAGGTAAATTACACATTTAGTATCTAAAATATTAGTTTTGATTTGCTTTAGTACTTAAACTTTTAATTTTTCAAATCATATCCAATGTTTTTTTGTTTTTTTAGTACATTGTTGTTAAACTTAACGGGCGATTTGTATGTCACCGTTTTGTTGGGTAACTTGCATCATTCATCATTCAACTATCTTCTCTTTCTTATTTTGGTACTAAAGTTTAATTTTTTTTAATTTAATTACTGACTTTCAAATTACTCTTAATTTATCGTTTAACTTTCAATTTTTTAATTATATTTAATTAAATAATAATAAAAATGTCATTTCATAAAATATTAATAAAATTAGTGCCTAAAATGGGAGCAATTTGAAAGTTGAGTAATTAAATTGAATTTTTTTAAACTTTAGTACCAAAATAGGAATGAGAAGATAGTTGATGGATGGATGATAGTTTACCTAAAAAATGCACTGTGGTTAAGTTTTTAACGGTGAGGTACTAAAATAAAATAAAATTAAAATTATATACATTTTTAAAAAAATTAAATGTTTAGAAACTAAAGTAGATCAAATTAAATAATTTACCCAAAAATTTATCATATCAATATGATAATATATACCATATGAGACTACCATATCATTGGACACTTACGCTGGCCTACATGTGAGAATAGATCAGCTTTCTGGTGAACCAATAGCAAGCAACTACCTAACCCAACCTAAACGAAGAATATAAGCAAGAAAAACAATAATGAATATAAATTATTTATTATTTTATTTATAAATTATATATTAAATAGTATATATATATATATATTTGTTTGGTGTGTGAATACATGTGAAAGTATCAGCGCTGGACATTTCCGCAAGAAACACGCGAATTAATTTATTCTAAAGTCAAATTATAATTATTTTCTACAAATTATATTAGTTTGTTTTTAAATTTATTTATTACCATTTTTAAATAATAATTCATAAATTCGTCACTTCAACTATGGCTGCCACACGAAGGGTTGACCACCAACTCCTCCATCCCATAAAGGCGTGTGCTCAAAACGTTACCGTTTTCACCCTCCAGAAATTATTTTATTTCTTTCTTTCTTGTTCATTTCTCCCTCTCCTTGTTGTTATCGTAATTGTAATTGCCAGTTGAAAAAAGGTACGGATTTTTCTTCTTCTGAGGTTTATTTGTGATAGATTTTACTTAATTCCATCTCGTTAATGCATTTTTTTTTAGTTTCCTTTTGGTTTTTATCGCTTTATCTTTTCGAATTCTTATATGAGTTGTGTAGATTTTGGTTTTCTTACCTTTCATGGATTGTTCTTGTTATTTTTAATGTTTTCTACTTTTTTTTGGTGGGGGGGGGGATTAAGCTAAATTTAATTATTTAGGGTTCATAAATTATGAAGGTCTAACTATTGTTTGAAGGATCTGAATAGTAATCAAGAAATCTTATTTTTTTAGCATTTTTTTAGATTTTCTAGGTTTAATGAAATATCATTTTCAAAGTAAATTCAGTTTTTTTTAATTGAAATTTTTGGTTTTCTTATTGTCTCTTTTTAATTATATATTTTTTAAAACATTTCAGTTCTTGGTCTCCATGGTAATTATTTTTATTAAAATTCAAGTACCTGAAAGAGTAATGTACAATCTGCTGTTTAAAAACTTTAGTTTATTCCTAGCTGATGTGACTGAAATAAACATGTTTGATTTTGATTTAAGATCTGAATCATGTAGTTTTTCTTTATTATTATTATTTTCAAGATTTGATACTTGTTCATGTGATTTTGATAAATTCCATGTTTTGGATAACGGTTGAGGTTATAATTTTGGTAATGTTTTCCATAATCTGCTGTTTAAAAGCTTCGGCTTTATTCTCGACAGTTTAGACTTTGGTGATTGTTCTTTAAGATCGACTTATATCGATTTGTTGGGCAATTTTCAAGCTTTGATATTCATTTGACGAATGATTTGGGAGTACCGTGTTTGATTGGTATTGTTTTCCATAGTTGCTTTAAAATTTTCTCCCATCATTCTTGTCCGACTGGGCTCAATCAAACATGTTTGATTTTGGATTAAGATCAGCTCGTGTCAGTTCATGGTGTAATTTCTAGCTAGCTCTAATATTCATTCACAAGTTGTTTTTGTAAACTCCTTGTGTTGACAGATCAAAGTTGGTATTTTCATAATGTTTTCCAGTCTGCAGTTTAAAAGCTTCTATGTTTTATTGTGTTTGGATGGTTTACTTTGATCTGATCAATGTTCGATTTTGTTCTGTGATCAACTGATATCTTTCTCACATGGGACCGTTTAGATATGGGGCTCTTGGCTTTTGATCTATAGCTGCTGTGGGATTGTTAACATTAACAGTTGAGTTCTGTAGGGTTCGATCATTTTTTTTTCTTGATTGTTAACTGGTTCTATATGCGAGTCATAATACTACTCTTGGCACTTTTAGGATTTTATTTCAACTGTTTAATGGTTTTGTTCAGATTACGCTCGAAATGGATTTTCTCTTCAGAGGCCTAAATGAGGATTCTTCATCTTCCCAAATGGACATTCTCAGATGTCCATTTTTGAGAAACATTAACGAGCCAACTAACTTTTCCTTCTCGTCTGCCATGCCTTTCGCCATGCCGGTATGATTTTGGGCTGTCATGAGCTTTGCTAGTGAGTCTTGTGTTTTACTTGAGTTCTCATTAGGTTTTATTTCTTGGCCTAAGGTTCGAGGAGCCAAAGGTCCATATTTGAAGATGGTCCCAATTTCGACATGGCATTCAGGCTTTTCCATGGACGTGATGTAGTCCGCTACCTGAACGATCCTCCTTGCGTATTGAGAAAGCAGATATTGAAACACCCCACCGAAGTTCAATCCTTTGGCTGCAAAGGCCGCCACCATTAGTCTCTCATCCTTCGGACCAGGAGGGCCATTCAGTTTTGATGCATTTAATAAGTGGAACAATCAGAAAGGAAAATCAAAATCATCCAAGAAAGAGTGAAATTATTTTGTTAATGTATTTTGTTTTGATTTGCTTTAGTACTTAAACCATATCAAAATTAATATAAATTACATATTTAGTATCTAAACTATTAGTTTTGATTTGCTTTAGTACTTAAACTTTTAATTTTTCAAATCATATCCAATGTTTAGTTTTGTTTGTACATTGTTGTTAAAACTTAACGGGCGATTTGTATGTGTCACCGTTTTGTTGGGTAACTTGCATCATTCATCATTCAACTATCTTCTCTTTCTTATTTTGGTTACTAAAGTTTAATTTTTTTTAATTTAATTACTTGACTTTCAAATTACTCTTAATTTAATCGTTCTAACTTTCAATTTTTTAATTATATATTAATTAAATAATAATAAAAATGTCATTTCATAAAAAATATTAATAAAATAATTAGAGTGCCTAAAATGGGAGCAATTTGAAAGTTGAGTAATTAAATTGAATTTTTTTAAACTTTAGTACCAAATAGGAATGAGAAGATAGTTGATAAATGGATGATAGTTTACCTAAAAAATGCAGTGGTTAAGTTTTTAACGGTGAGGTACTAAAATAAATAAAAATTAAAATTAGATACATTTTTTAAAAATTAAATGTTTAAGAACTAAAGTGGATCAAAATTAATATAATTTACCCAAAAATTATCATATCAATATGATAATATACCATATTGAGACTACCATATCATTGGACACTTACGCTGGCCTACATGTGAGAATAGATCAGCTTTCTGGTGAACCAATAGCAAGCAACTACCTAACCCAACCTAAACGAAGAATATAAGCAAGAAAAACAATAATGAATATAAATATTTATTATTTTATTATAAATTATATATTAAATAGTATATATATATATATATAATATTTTGTTTGGTGTGTGAATACATGTGAAAGTATCAGCGCTGGACATTTCCGCAAGAAACACGCGAATTAATTTATTCTAAAGTCAAAATTTTTTCTAAAATTATTTTAGTTTGTTTTAAATTTAATTTATTACCATTTTTAAATAATAATTCATAATTCGTCACTTCAACTATGGCTGCCACACGAAAGGGTTGACCACCAACTATTCCATCCCATAAAGGCGTGTGCTCAAACGTTACCGTTTTCACCCTCCAGAAATTATTTTATTCTTTCTTTCTTTGTTCATTTCTCCCTCTCCTTGTTGTTATCGTAATTGTAATTGCCAGTTGAAAAAAGGTACGGATTTCTTCTTCTGAGGTTTATTTGTGATAGATTTTACTTAATTCCATCTCTGTTAATGCATTTTTTTTTAGTTTCCTTTTGGTTTTTATCGCTTTATCTTTTCGAATTCTTATATGTTGTGTAGATTTTTGGTTTCTTACCTTTCATGGATTGTTCTTGTTATTTTTAATGTTTTCTACTTTTTTTGGGGGGGGGGGGAATTAAGCTAAATTTAATTATTTTAGGGTTCATAAATTATGAAGGTCTAACTATTGTTTGTGAAGGATCTGAATAGTAATCAAGAAATCTTATTTTTTAGCATTTTTTTAGATTTTCTAGGTTTAATGAAATATCATTTTCAAAGTAAATTCAGATTTTTTTAATTGAAATTTTTGGTTTCTTATGTCTCTTTTTAATTATATATTTTTATTAAAACATTCAGTTCTTTGGTCTCCATGGTAATTATTTTTATTAAAATTCAAGTACCTGAAAGAGTAATGTACAATCTGCTGTTTAAAAACTTTAGTTTTATTCCTAGCTGATGTGACCTGAAATAAACATGTTTGATTTTGATTTAAGATCTGAATCATGTAGTTTTTCTTTATTATTATTAATTTTCAAAATTTGATACTTGTTCATGTGTGATTTTGGTAAATTCCATGTTTTGGGTAACGGTTGAGGTAATAATTTGGTTAATGTTTTCCATAATCTGCTGTTTAAAAGCTTCAGCCTTTATTCTCGACTGTTTAGACTTTGGTTAAACATATTTGATTGTTCTTTAAGATCGACTTAGATCGATTTGTTGGGCAATTTTCAAGCTTTGATATTTATTGACGAATGATTTGGGAAATACCGTGTTTGATTAGGTATTGTTTTCCATAGTTTGCTTTAAAATTTTCTCCCATCATTCTTGTCTGACTGGGCTCAATCAAACATGTTTGATTTTGGTTTAAGATCAGCTCGTGTCAGTTCATGGTGTAATTTTCTAGCTCTAATATTTCATTCACAAGTTTTGTAAATTCCATTGTGTTTGACAGAGCCAAAGTTGGGATTTTCATAATGTTTTCCAGTCTGCAGTTTAAAAGCTTCTATGTTTCTTATTGTGTTTGGAGTGGTTTACTTTGATCTCATCAATATGTTCGATTTTATTCTGTGATCAACTGATATCATTTCCTCACATGGGACCGTTTAGATATGGGGCTCTTGGCTTTTGATCTATAGCTGCTGTGGGATTGTTAACATTAACAGTTGAGTTCTGTAGGGCTCGATCATTTTTTTTTTCTTGATTGTTAACTGGTTCTATATGCGAGTCATAATACTACTCTTGGCACTTTTAGGATTTTATTTCAACTGTTTAATGGTTTTGTTCAGATTACGCTCGAAATGGATTTTCTCTTCAGAGGCCTAAATGAGGATTCTTCATCTTCCCAAATGGACATTCTCAGATGTCCATTTTTGAGAAACATTAACGAGCCAACTAACTTTTCCTTCTCGTCTGCCATGCCTTTCGCCATGCCGGTATGATTTTGGGCCTGTCATGAGCTTTGCTAGTTGAGTCTTGTGTTTTACTTGAGTTCATTAGGGTTTATTTCTTGGCCTAAGGTTCGAGGAGCCAAAGGTCCAATATTTGAAGATGGTCCCCAATTTCGACATGGCATTCAGGCTTTTCCATGGACGTGATGGAGTAGTTCCGCTACCTGAACGATCCTCCTTGCGTATTGAGAAAGCAGATATTGAAACAACCCCACCGAAGTTCAATCCTTTGGCTGCAAAGGCCGCCACCATTAGTCTCTCATCCTTCGGACCAGGAGGGCCCTTCAGTTTTGATGCATTTTCTAATAAGTGGAACAATCAGAAAGGAAAATCAAAATCATCCAAGAAAGAGTCTTCTTCACAGGTAATCGAACATCTGCTAATGGATTACTCAAAGAACATCTGATAATGGATTATGGGCCTGTGAATTTAAAGTTAGAATAATCGACAAATTTCTTGAAGATTTTGGATTATTGTTTTGACATCATTCCAATATTATTTTCAGGGAGGAAATTCGAATCATGAAGCAGTGGGCAATGAATGGCTGCAAAATGGGAACTGTCCGATCGCAAAGTCGTTCAGGGCAGTTAGCAGTGTTTTGCCACTAGTTACGAAGGTTCTTAAGCCACCTCCAGGGATGAAATACAGGTGCCCACCTGCAATTGTTGCTGCTCGAGCAGCACTAGCACAAACTGCGTTCGCCAAGAATCTCCGCCCGCAATCCTTGCCGACAAAAGTACTGGTGATCGGGATGTTAGGCATGGCAGCAAATGTTCCGTTAGGGATATGGCGGGAACACACTGAAAAATTCTCACCGTCTTGGTTTGTGGCTATCCATGCCGCCGTTCCATTCATAGCCATGCTTCGGAAATCCGTCTTGATGCCAAAAACAGCAATGGCTTTTACCATTGCAGCATCTGTATTAGGACAGGTTATCGGCTCTAGGGCAGAACGGTACCGATTAAAAGCATCGGCGGGAAAACAGTTAGGTATCAAGGAATCATCGGTTTCCATCGGTGGTGCAAAACAGTTAGACTTTGTTGCCGTTAAAAACGGGGATTGCAGGAAAGATGTTGAATGGATCCAGTCTCTCTGCAGGTGGCAATGGGGCCATCTTCGTCTACTGAAGTGACCGCCATTACTGCATAATTGTGTTATATGCTGTATTTGTTTTCTCGTGTTCCTTGTGGAACCAGACATCATGCTTTGTTTTGGGCCAAAAAAAAACCATGCAGGTAATAAAAGATGCGGAAAGACATTCGGTGGAACTGTAATGTGTTCATTTTTTAGTTTAAATTGGAAAAAAAAAAATTAAATCTACCATTCGTTTAAGATATTTCTCTGTTGTAAGACTTATTTTTTAGTTTTTTTCTTTAGAATTTTACAAACCAATCCCGCCAAAAACTTATTATATATTAATTTTAATTATTGGTTAGATCAATTTTGTTAAAAGAAATTTAAAGACGATGAAATCGTTTTAATTGAAAAAACGAAATGCTCACCAACTTGTAATGTAACCTTCACGTAGAAAATAACGAAATTAAGAACTGTTTAATTTTGTTCTTTGTTTTTAAGATATAAATATGTTAAAAAAAAAACGTCGAGGCTGCATTAGGCCATTTCACATAGGAAAAAAACACGAACGGATTGATTAATTTTATTGGAAAATTCGACCATTCATTTCTGACCGTTGATTTTTATCTTTTCAAACTTTATTGGATGGAAGGCGGAGCCAATCAAACGGTGGACAATCGGCGCCGTGCAGCCACTGCTGCATACGAACAACCCGTTTCCGAGATCAATGGCGTCGACACTGCTTCCCCTACTCAAAGGTAGGGAGAAAACTTTATATATCTGTGTTCATTTTAATGGAGTATATATTATGTTTTCTACTGCTATTCTATTTTCTGTTTTGCAGGCTTCAAAAGTAGCTGATGGATCTCATGGTATGTGAATCTTTTCTACTGTTTTACGTTTCAAAATGATATATGGGTATTATGCTGATGTGCAGTGTGGAGGGGATCTCGGGGTTTCAGCATTTCCGCAAGGCGAAAGCATTTTTAAATGGATCGG